TCATTTTTATAGGCGTGGTGTGTCTGCAGACAGACTGACGGAATCAATGCAACCCCACAGACGAACGAGCGACGAGGCACGGAAGACGGAAACGAGTTTGAGGACATAAAACTGGCACGAATCTCCTAGTATATGCAGATATATTTAGAGACACCGTATTGGCTGCCAGAGACAAGACAGGCGGCGCCTCGGTCGCGAGCAGTTTCGGCCTTGGTGGCAGGGGTGACAACGTGGGTACTACGCCACTTACACCCCATTGGACGTACCTTCCCTTTCGATTCCTCCATACCAACATACACATTGTACCCACAAGCATACTACCAGGCTCTCGGATCGTAGATCCCGCTCTGGATCCCGCTATCAGATCTTAGATTTTGCGGAACATAGTTAGAACTTGCGTACTCTACACCATACAAGCAGCCTCGACGTGATGCCTCTACCAGTCTTGGACTGCAGCGCAGTTACGGACAGCGCCACACCGCCAGATGATGGCACCAGGCCAGTAGACAGGATTCACCAGCACTAGACAGCTGTTTGCACAGGATTGCAACGCTGGATCTGGTATTACCTGGCAGAGATCCTCCTTGGTATCGTTTTGGATCGAGCGCTTCTTCACATTTGAAAACAAACCGAGCATGAACAAGAACGTCTACAAGGACAGCTCCGACTATGTGCGTCGCTTCCAGGAGCTGCATGCGCGCACCTGCAACGTGTCGTACGACCTCGCGTGGGGTGACCTCCCAACGCTACTGCAGCAAGCCGTGCTTTGGGACCTCGGGCTCGTCGTCGCTAACGTCAACGGTGTCGATACGCTCGTGCAAGTCTACCCGCTCTGCTCGACGTCCATGGACAACCTCTTCTTCTCGCCAACGACCTACTTGTCGATGAAAGACACGGAGGCGCTCACGTGCAGCTCGAGCTTGGGCTCGTACGTGCGCCAGAACGAAGCGTCGGGGCCCAACATCACGCCAGCGATCCGCTGTGCGATCGACGCTGCGAACGTCCCGGACGCCGGCTCGAGCATGTACGCCGAAGACGCGCTCAAGCCGACAGACGTGCCGGACCACCGCGTCTGGATGCACCAAGCGCCAGGCACATCATGGGTCATTCTCGGCATCCACTCGATCCCGAAAAAGTACGCCGACACCAAGCTCAAGGACACTCCGTGGGGCGAGTGTCCCAACGAGGCCAGCGGCCAGGCGAGTGCGCTCACGATTCCGTGCGTCGTCTACAAGACTCGACCACAAACCATGGCAGTGTGCGCGCCCGAGACGTTCTCCGAGAGCATGCATTCGTGGCTCGTCGACTTTGCGTCGGCCGGCAACGCAACCACCGCACCAAAGACAGTCGTACCAACAACGACACCGACGACGGTCCCGACATCACTGCCACGAACGATCCCAGCAGCCAAGGAGACGACAACGACGATGCCAACGCATACCGCCAGGCCTCATTGAACGACGAGTCGTCGAATGATACTGCCATCATCATTGGTGCGGTCGCCGGCGTCGTTGGCGGTCTCGTGCTGGCGGTGCTCCTCGTGCTTGTCTTCCGCCGGCGCAAGGCCGCGCCATGACGACCTGAGATCGAGTTTGAGCCGTACGAGTCGGCTGGCCAAGTGATTCATACGCCGGTGCAGCAAAACTACCAAGGTCTCTCGACGCCGCGCTAAGAACTTAAAGGCGCGAAGGACTTGATGTTTCATTCTTACTGCGTTGTTGAAGTGAGTCTGTTGAGATATAATTTCCATTGATTTGGTTTTGGCGGCGGACTTTCGACTCAGAGCGTGGTATGCTTGACGGCAGCAGCGGCGAGGCTTAGCCGTGCCAAAGTCGACGCGTATGGATGGCGCAAGCCGGGACGGGGTGATCGCGAAGCCAGGCGTCATGGCGCTCTCATTCTTATTATCGATATCTCCAACACTCGACCACAGGAAAGCAAGCGCGGCTGAGCTTTAGGCCACTCAGTCGGGAATACGATCCAAGTAACATCAAGACCATCGTACTACCGAGAGCTTTGGATGCATGAAGCCAGGCACCACAAAATCACCTCGCTACTGAAGCCTTGGAGAGCGATCGTTGTAGAAGCTCACCCTATCGGCGACTCTCTCATGCCCAACACCAAAGATACTGCAACGGGCTTCACCAAGCACCGGGTGGCAGGAAGCAGCGAGTATCGAAGCTGATCCGGCGAGGCCGTCGGCAGGCTGTCTGCCTATGAACTCAACCATAAAATGCAGCTGCAAGCTTGCCGTGGTCACGCATCCAAGCCAATGAAGCGTCGCAATAAGCTGCCGCGATACTCTCAACGAGCTGCTCGACTTTGGATACGCAGCGCTGGACATTGGCTGTCTCTTCTGTCTCTAGCCAATCCGGAGGCGTATTTAAGTGAAAGCCACTCATTGGTTGATTTTCTAGGAGTTGTGAAAGAAGCCAACGACCAATCTGTGCTTAAGGAATCTTGTACGTTGGTAAGGTAGAGGCGAATAGGATCGTCGGATAGATAGTACTGATCAATGGGCTCCACTCTACACGTCAAGGACGCGTTCGTTGCTCTCTCTGGGTCGCGTGGTCGTGACCGTTTACTGTCCTTCATAATCATGTCCGATCCAAAATGAAAATTCAAATAATTCCTGCCAATCCGCGCCGCGCCCGCTGGAGATTCAACCAGCTGTCGACCAATGGCTTTTGTTCTCAGCTCCTAATTCTAGCCAATCCACGTGCCGTATTTTGTGCCTCCGTTGTGACAACTTCAACCTGACACTGGGCAAAGACACGGCCGTGGGCGTCTCGTTGCGCCCAAACTCCGTCATCGCAGGGCGGAGATCCTCGTCTTCGCAGCGTGGCAATGTCCATCATGCGCTCTCCACTAAAAAAAATGCGTGTGACTAGACTACTACCGGTACTCCAAGAGTATCAAATCAAATGCAATGTGGGCTGGACCTTCCTGGCAACGTGCCCATCCACAGCGACGACACCCAAGCGTCGGTGGCGTTCGGGTCAGACATCGACTGCGACAGTCCCGGCCCAAGCGTTGGCTACCTACAGTACCCCGGACGGGCCTGGTTCGGAGGCTATCTGCAACTCATTTTGCTTGGACTTGAAGACGGACGCCGTCTCCTCCCCTTCGCGGCAAGTAGCCACCCGCCCATCGTTAGTGGAACTGGCCATCTTTGTACTGTACGGGACGCGGGGTCGTTGGACACCTCAACGTTGTCGAGTCGTTGGGCGGTGAAATTCCAAATTAGCACAAACGCCGTTATTAGCGTTGGCGAAGGTTAGGGTGTGGACGATCGCTCGATATCTATCCAGTTGCGACGCCAAGCAGCCTTCAGGTGGCGTGGCTTGCAACATTCCGCCACCACGTGGCTCTGTCCGTTCTCTTCCCAAGTGCTTCCGCGCATTCGGATTGGCCAAAATAACCAAGATACGGAAACGACGCGCGTTGATTGGGTAAAAATACTCACCCAACACGCCAGTGCTGGCCACGGTTTCTATGTCTCACTCTTCGGCAGCGCTCCATCATTCGACGACAGCGATGGTCCTCCTCTGCCAGCAGCCAACGCGCCGGCGCCCAACGCCGAACCGGCACCGCAAGCAGGCCGACGACGACGAGGCCGTCGTGACCTTTGCGCGCAGCCCGGTCTCGATCTACGCGGCCCTCGTGTCCATCTCGCTCCAACGCGCGCTCTACGACCAGTTCGCCGCGTTTCGCTGGCCGACGTTCGCCGAGATGTACGCGATGGGTGTCGAGCTCGGCGCCGGCGCCACGTCGGTCGTCATGGAAGCGCTGCACCGCAAGACAGGCGCGCCGTTTGCGGTCAAGCGCATCAGCAAGGGCCGCGCGACCTGTCTTGGCATGAAGGACCACCGCAGCGAGATTGCGTGCCTCCGGACGCTCCACCACCCGCACATTGTGAACCTTGTTGACTACTTTGACGAAGACGACGCAGCCTATGTCGTGCTCGAGCTCGTGGCCGGCGGCGAGCTCTTCCTCTATATGCTCGAACATGGGCCGTGCACGGAAGCCGAGACCAAGCACATTCTCCAGCAGCTTCTCTCAGCGGTCATCTACTGCCACGAGCACAACATTGTGCATCGTGACATCAAACCCGAAAACATCTTGTTTACCCGCGACGTGGCCTCGGGCGACGTCACGATCAAGCTCGCCGACTTTGGCTTTGCGACCAGCGTCCGCGGCGACACGCTCTCGCGCCGCTGCGGCACCCAGCGCTACATGGCGCCCGAGATGCTCAAAGGCCAGACGTACGGCACGTCGGTCGACATTTGGAGCATCGGCATCATCGCGTTCTGCCTCCTCTGCGGGTTTTTCCCCGAGATTGACGACGCTGGCAACGTCCAGTTTGATGCGCACATTTCGCTGTCGCCCGCCGCGATCGAATGCGTCGAGGAGATGCTCACGATGGAGCCGACGATGCGGTCGACGGCCAAAGAGGTCCTCTCGCATCCGTGGTTCTCCAACAAGCCGCCGCGCTCGACCGGCCGGAAGCGCACGGTCGACATGTTTGAGACCTTTGGCCTCTTCATCACCGACATGCTGCAGTTTGTGGCGTTTTGCCAGACGCTCGAGTTTGGTGCCAAGACGCAGCAGACGCTCGAGACTGCGAACGACGGCCTTGGCATGATCCAGCTATACCTCTCGACCGAGCCGTCGACGATCTCGAGCATGTTTACGTTCTTGAGCAACGTTGTCGGGTCGCTCGTCGACGACATCTCGAGCGAAGAGCCCGACCTGATCCCGGTCGCCAAGCAGCTCCAGCGCACGTACGAAGCGCTTCGGCTCCAGCTCGTGCCCAACTGCCCCACCAGCCACACGCTCATGGCGTGTATATGATGCTACCCCAAGGTCGTTCGTCGTGTTGCCCATCGAAAGCAACAGCGTTGCCAACACGGCGCCGTGACGTCGTCTCTGTCCCTTGTGTCGTCTCCTGTTTACATTAATTTAATTCGACTCTTTTTGCTTTCGATGCGTCGTCGTACTTTACATTGGACGGTACTGTACATTGACAAGGTGCCATGGGTCGGTCGAGCTGTCAGTAGAGGTCACTACAGGTGTCTGTCGCCGGATCTGACGTCAGTGCCGTGTCACATGGCCGGTACCGTACGAGCGTGACACCGATGCGGTTTCGATTGAGGGTGTGGCAGGTCAAAGTGGAGAACAATGTCCTATGAAACTGCAATGTCGGACGGCACCATGCGTTGGAAGGTGTGACGCGCCGACCGTCGACAGAGTCGCGTCGCAAAGTCGCACAATGGAAGTGCGACTTTGTGCTTGACGCTACGGTACAACTACGGTATCGGCAGGTACGTACACGGAGACCACGAGACCGTTGAAAGATTGGACAATATGTCCTCTTTCACTTATTAATGCGTCGTTGGACCGCAAGAGGGAGCACTATGCCAACACCCACCCCAGTAGCACCTGGCACCATCTTGTTTGCGTCTTTGACGTTGACTCCGGCGCGCTCGATTGGTGGATGGGTTGATACATCGATAGCTGTCTTGTTCATCGACGATGAACGCGCGAAGGTTCGGTATTACGCCGGTACACCCCAACAGACTTTTCAAAAACAAGGGCTAGGGTTGTTCCAACCCTAGCCCTTGTTTTTGAAACGCAAGCCAGGACGTGTTAATCAGTCAATACGATATCGACATGAAACGCAATATATATATTCGCAAGGATTTACAACATAACAGAAGCGACTAGGACGCGGCCAGTGACGCGATGCAGGCCTCGAACTCGTCCTCCATCTTTTTGAGTGCGTCCAGCTGGTTGCCAAGGCGGTCCACTTCAGGGCCATGACGTATCTTGTGCTGCGCGAGCTGCTCCAGGACGCGGTCAATGTCCTTGACGAGTGCCGTGTGCGCGTCTTCGAGTTCCTCAATGAGGTGAAGTACGTCTTGGTTTTTGGCGTCGATTTGATTCATTTCCTCCAAAGCCGAGGCGTTCACAGGCACGATTTGGCCTGTAGCATGGGCCGACGACGGGTGCGTCGGCTTGTGCACGAGCTATTCTCTCTCTATCGGAATGCATCGTTCAAAGCGCTCATACCTTCATGGCGGACGACGACGAAAACTCGTGCGTGCTCGTCTAGCCACGCAATCAGAAGTCACGTGTGGACATGTACTTGGTGCAGTACTTGTAAGGCGGGTGCCATATCGCTACTGCTGCTGTTTGCTGCAGCAAGACGCTGGTACAAGGGCTGGAAAACCCGCGGTCCAAGGTACGGGATACGAAAGAGCACGTGCTGAATGTTCAAATATGCATCATTTTGTACAGGCCACTTGTACGTACGTAGAGAAGATGGTTGGCGATTTCGTGGCCCATGGACGACGCGTGCATCGTTTGCGCCAGCAAGTGCGATTCCTTCTGCTCCAAGTAGGCTACAAACGCCGTCAATATTCAAAAAGAAATATTTGGTGACGGTATACCATTGGCAAAGCAGGCGATGAGCATGTGCTATTGCATAGTGAGACAGATGCGAGAGCCTCCAGTGAAGTTACCATGATGACGAGCACGATGAGCGCAACGAACGAGATGAAGAAGAGCGGGCCCAGAACGCGGTTGACTTCAAAAATCTCTTCGACGTCGAATTTGAGCGTAAATATGCTCATCAGCGAGTAGCTACATATGTATCATAGTAGTCTACGAATATAGACAAAACGACCATACAAGCTGTGCAAGAGCACACTATAGTGCGCGAGCGAGGTCCCAAACGCCTACGCACTTCGATGTCGATGGCACATTGAGGCAGGAAGGCGTACAAGAGTAAACGCCATGCTACCACCAAAGAGCAAGATCGCAATCATGATGAAAAGCCCCAGGAGCTCATGCAGCGCGCTCGAGACCGTCGACGTGAGGATGCTAAAGGTCGGTAAAACTAGTTTTGTCCATTAACGTCAGCAGCGACACGGAAAAATAGAGACGTACACGAGAGGTACTTAAAGACTTTGAGAATCGAAAGAAAGCAGTTGAGACTGTTGACGCTTTGGGACAAGTAGTCGTAGTTGGCACTCGTGCTAATTTGTGTTCCAATGTGAAAATATGTGTTTTGTGCAGTTATGTACCGGAGGTTGATGTACGTATCTGCCGGAAACGATGTTGGCAAGGAAACAAACATGAGCATTTTGAGCGCGGCGACGACAAAGAAGAGGACGATATTGACGTCGTTGGTCAAGCTGCCGCGCCCGCGGTAATAGGAGAGTCCATCGTATCGCAAATTTGTCAGCGCCGTGTACGCCTGTCCGAGCACGACAAGGTACAAGGCGACTTCCACAGCAATGTAGATGCGGTCCGAGACCGTGGTCGTCGGATACGGTCGGAAGCTCACGACGTTCTTCGTGGCGAGGAGGCCACCGCCCATGGTTTGCTCCAAGAACAGTCGAACGACTGTAATCGCGTCCGCGTTGTAGCTATACGTCGAGAGGTCGACAAAGATGGCCCGTGTCGCCGCGTCGAAAAACCTAGACACTTATATGAGCTCGGTGTGTCGTATATATCGATATTGAATATTGCAAAGCACGAACTTGGTCGAGCGTAGCGCCTCGAGCTCCTCGTAGACTTCGCAGCCGTGCTTGGTGCCGACGTCGCACTCGTCCGACTCGTGGTTGTGGAGCTCCACCGTGAACGTCGGGCCCGGGTACGCGCGATTCGATACCGAAATGAAGGTCGGCTCGGACTCGTGCTCGCTTGGATAATAGGTCCGAGTGAGGCCAAACGGCTCCTTGCTCTCGACATCAGAGGCGTAGTCGGGAAAGCAATAGGGCTGCGTGAGATTTGCAGTCGGAATGACCCCGGCGCACGGCTGGGCTTGCACCCGTAGCTAGGCAAAAGTACAATTGTTGCGGTTTATCCTTCAGCTCGCGTACCTGGCCGATGCGAATGGTGCCCAGAATCTGGTTGGCGCCACCCAAGAAGCCACGGGCGCCATACAGCGGTCCCTCTGGGTAACTTGTGTCGGCGTCAAACGATCCAGCTGCAAACACCGAAAACCAGAACGGGCCCACTAGAAAATATCAAAAGTCGTCAAACATCCTTTCAAACGAGACGATATCGACCAAGAAATTCGTGAAATTCGTCGACCGTGTCGACTGTGAGGTACGACTTGTACACGGACGAGTTTGGAATTTGGAACTCCTTCTCAAGGAGCTGGGTGCGCACGAGGCGTCCGAGCATGAAGCGCGTGTCGCTCGAGGAGTGAAGAAGGACTTCGGTGAGAAAGAGGGCAAGAAAGCCAAAGTACTTTAGCTATACCAAAGAAACATCAAGCCCTCGGTTAGCAATGTCAATATTCGTCATACCATTTCGACAATCTCGCGCCGGGCTCGCAACTTGTGCGCAGCATGGGACGCAAGGTTGTGCGCCGTCATCTGGCCCTTCAACGACTGCTGCAACACATCCGTGGCGATTGCAAAGCCCTTGGACTGGTGGCGGTGCTCCTCCGTCTC